TAAACAAGGCTCTTTTTGGCTATTGTTCAACCTTTGGAAAGTATGTCATACTCTCCTGTTTATAAATCCAACATGGACTCTTTCACTTCATGTGACTGGCTAGCCGCTGACGCATTTGTGTCCCAGTTCAGCTGTATGCCTATGCAAATCACTCTGTTGCCTTTCTATGCATTGGCTGTATTCAAATCAAATCAAATCAAATGTTATTGGTCACATACACATATTTAGCAGATGTTATTGCGGGTGTAGCGAAATGCTGAACTGAACTGTTGAACTGTTCCTAGCTCCAACAGTGCAGTAGTATCTAACAATTCACAGCAATACACACATCTAAAAGTAAAAGAATGGAATTACGAAATATATAAATATTAGGACGAGCAATGTCTGAGTGGCATTGAATAAAATACAGTATAGTACAGTATATACATATGAAATGAGTAAAACAGTATGTAAACATTATTCAGGGTAAAATGAGCGCACACATTTACGTTGCACACGTTGATAGTTAACTACCTTTTTAGTTCTTCAAAAGAGCAGTTCTTGAAAGGGCATGGTTTTCCCAGAGCTGTCAACAGCCTGGGATATTTATGGTGGTTGAATTGGCTCACACTTCTTGTGGGCATTTGTAGAGCTACAACGACCCTGGGTGTATTTCACTCCAGAAATCCAATATTAAAAAAGAAAAGGCCTATGGCATGAATAGTTAGGATGATAATGTATTATGCAGACAATTTTGCTGCTAACACAGATCTAGCTGTAATGTCATTTAATTCAACCCTTCCCCCCCCCATCTCCCTCTCAATGTCTCTTCACTGAATTGGGTCTATTCATTTGTGCCCTTTTGGCAGACAATCCCCTCCATTTCATTTTTACTTCAGTGGCATTCCTCCCTAGCCTTCCACTCTGCTCGCTCAGACATGAGGATTACTCGGCTACATCCGATAAGTACCCAGTGAAAACTTCCAAAGTGTCTGTCATCCTGCTGCGGTTAAAGGGAGGTTCTAAGAACAGCACATGTCACGGTCTGACCTTCCCTGTAATCTGGGTTTCACATTCACTGTCTCCGCAATGACGTGACCCCGTTTGATAGCCCGCCCTGCTTCTTAATCAGCGAGAGCCGGGAGGACAGCCGTGTGCGTCATGTTTCCTTGCCGTCTTCCACTTTGACTGTGTGTGTGTGTGTGTGTGTGTGTGTGTGTGTGTGTGTGTGTGTGTTCTGTATTATGCTCACAGTATGACTCGTGGAGGATAGACAAGTTCAAATATCCTTATTGGCCTCCAAAGATTTGGGCCTTTGTGATAATTGATTTTGTGGTGGACTCAAATAAAGCACTGAAATGTGTGTGTGTGTTTGTTTGTGTGTTTTAAGGCAAGATAGTAAGAGGACAACAACAACATGCTGGGCTGTAAGGAACAGGACGGGGGGAGCGTGGCCCCAGCTCACTGGCTGTGACCCTCCAACGGAGTACCGTAACCCAGCACCCGGCTAGTGCAAGTGGACATGCAACAGGGATAAACCCATTTCCTCCCCATCAAGCTCTCTAAACTACCCCCACCCCCTTCTCAGGGGGGCTAGTGGACCGTTTTGGGCACCAGACAGGCAGGCTCTGGGGTAGGGGAGAGACGGAAGAGAGGGTGGGGGGATAAAGTTCTGTGGGGGCTGGGAAGTGAGGGGAGTGAGAGGTGTGGCATCTGGGGGAGGGTGCGTTGGGGGAGTGGGAGAGAGAGAGCAGCAGGAGGCACAGGGCCAGCCACAGCCAGGTCTGTGGTGGAGAGGGACAGGCTGCAGCCTCAGCCCCTGCCCCAGGACTCCCAGGGTCCCCAGCCACGACACGGCCCAGCCATGTCTAAAGGAGGTGAGGCTCCGGACGGTGGCGAACACCCTCGCTTCTTCGTAGGCTGCGACGACAACGAGGGCGAGGAGCTGCTGGACCCCGGGCGGGTCATGGGCTACGACTGCCTCTACGAGAATGTGGAAGAAGAGGAGGAGGAGGACGACGACGAGGAGGACGACGAGATGTATGATTCGGTGAGTTGAGTTGCCCATAGAGATCATCATAGTGACTGAATATAAAGCCTCTGTCTTTATAATGAGAAGATCATACAAGTGAGATCAAAATAGGCACAATTGAGACTGCAGGGGAGGCACTTGATTCTGCACTAAATTGAAATTATGGCTTTTGATATAAGTCCATTTTAGGTGTAATATGCGCACATATAAAGTTACTTTCCAGGTTCTGAATTGAGGAAAGGGTTCACACACAACAAAGTGAATCCTCACTCTGTTGAAATCTTCACACAGACTGTTTCATAGCGTTTATGGAGCATCTAATAGTGCAACTTCATGGAAATGAGAGATTTATGCCACAGTACTTTTATAGGATTTGATCGGGATTTGGCTGACATGTTGCAGTGGAAATGTGATCTCATATATTTGCATTGGGCGTCTCTCTGCACATACTTAATTTATTAAAAGTGACATGTCTGTAACTCCAAACACCCAAATTAATTGCTTTCCATTCTAAAGCTTGTGATGGTTGAACATTCTTTTTTGAATATTCTTCTTTGCTGAATATTAATTCAGTTGTTATATAACTGTCAATGACTTGTAATACCGTTACATCTACTTTATGAATAATTCATCGGCTTACATTTCCAAACTCAATTTTTTTTTTATGTTCCTTGAACAATCCTAAATAAAATGGTTGGTTTACAAACCTTTCACAAGTTATACCATACCATACCATACATAACAAATGTGTTGTAGCATTGTCATGCACAGTAAGATACTGGTATGATGACATAGTTAAAAAAAAACTGACCCAGAGTGGACAGTCAGATAGCTGTCTAGGGAGTGTCTCATTAGGCAATCTACCAACTGACCCACAGTGGACAGTCCCATAGCTGTCTAGGGAGAGTCTCATAGCATCAAGTACCTCTCCCCTCCCTAATCTGTATTGATCTCAAAACAAACCAAAGGGTTGTCTCCTGGGAATTGGCTTTCACCTGTCCAGTTCTTTCCCACGTCCAGTTCTTTCCCACAAGTGGAAATGACTAAAAGAAAACAAGGCGAGGAAAGCGCTTGAGACTATTGAGATGCACCCATTGGTGCCTATTCCTCAATCTCCTCTCCCTAGCGAGGGAGGCACATGAGACTATTGCGTTGCACCAGGGCTATAGGCTGTTCCAATACTCTATAGCATCCTGTATAGGCTGTGTTCCAATACTCTATAGCATCCTGTATAGGCTGTGTTCCAATACTCTATAGCATCCTGTATAGGCTGTGTTCCAATACTCTATAGCATCCTGTATAGGCTGTGTTCCAATACTCTATAGCATCCTGTATAGGCTGTGTTCCAATACTCTATAGCATCCTGTCCTCATCACCTTTCCTTAACCCCTATTCCTCCATCTCCCCTCCCCTAGCCTCCTGAGAGGCAGATCGTGGTGGGCATCTGTGCCATGTCCAAGAAGTCCAAGTCCAAGCCCATGAAGGAGATCCTGGAGCGCCTCTGTCTGTTCAAGTACATCACGGTGGTGACCATCGAGGAGGAGGTCATCCTCAACGAGCCCGTGGACAACTGGCCACTCTGCGACTGCCTCATCTCATTTCACTCCAAAGGTGAGCGCTGGGTTACCATGCACTTACGCATGTGCGTATCAACAAACACACAAGCGCATAAACACACACACACACACACCCTGGGTTACCATGGACACACGCTGGTTTACCATGGACATGCGTGGACACACAAACACAATTACAAACAAACACAGTAGGGATGTGACAAATGTACAATGTTTAAATGGCGATTTTGTTTTCCGTTAAAACAATAAGAAAAATTCATCAAATTCCACATGAATTCACAATGCAGATGATCTACATCGTGCTTCCTGTGGAGAGGGAGGGAGAACATGTGATCATTTATGCTGATCTTGCTTTTCACCAGAGTGGCGCGTGTAGGTTGTTGTTGTCGTCCAATCACAAGTCATCAAACCGGCACTAGGCTACAGTCAAACAGCCTCCGTGTGGCTAGTTATCAGGAGATATCTAGGCTAATAGCTGGAAGGCTAGTTATCAGGAGATATCTAGGCTAATAGATGGAAGGCTAGTTATCAGGAGATATCTAGGCTAATAGATGGAAGGCTAGTTATCAGGAGATAGCTAGGCTAATAGCTGGAAGGCTAGTTATCAGGAGATATCTAGGCTAATAGATGGAAGGCTAGTTATCAGGAGATATCTAGGCTAATAGATGGAAGGCTAGTTATCAGGAGATATCTAGGCTAATAGATGGAAGGCTAGTTAACAGTAGATATCTAGGCTAATAGATGGAAGGCTAGTTATCAAGAGATATCTAGGCTAATAGATGGAAGGCTAGTTATCAAGAGATAGCTAGGCTAATAGATGGAAGGCTAGTTATCAAGAGATAGCTAGGCTAATAGATGGAAGGCTAGTTATCAAGATATATCTAGGCTAATAGATGGAAGGCTAGTTATCAGGAGATATCTAGGCTAATAGATGGAAGGCTAGTTATCAGGAGATATCTAGGCTAATAAATGGAAGGCTAGTTATCAGGAGATAGCTAGGCTAATAGCTGAAAGGCTAGTTATCAGGAGATAGCTAGGCTTATAGCTGGAAGGCTAGTTATCAGGAGATAGCTAGGCTTATAGCTGGAAGGCTAGTTATCAGGAGATAGCTAGGCTAATAGCTGGAAGGCTAGTTATCAGGAGATAGCTAGGCTAATAGCTGGAAGGCTAGTTATCAGGAGATATCTAGGCTAATAGATGGAAGGCTAGTTATCAGGAGATGATTTCTGCTCTCGTAAAAGCCTGAGTTTTCTGCACGCTAACACTAGGAGCTTATTACATAAAATTGATCAATTGAAAGTGTGGGTTCACTGCTCCAATCCAGATGTGTTGGTCATTACTGAGATGTGGTTAAGAAAGAGTGTTTTGAACACTGATGTTAACCTTTCTGGTTATAACCTTTTTATAACAGATCTTCCAAAGGTGGTGTAGTGGCAATCTTTACCAAGGAACACCTTCAGTGCTCGGTTGTCTCCACCAAGTCTGTCCCCAAACAATTTGATTTGCTGGTTTTAAGCATTCAACTTTCAAATAGCTCTTTGTTGACTTGCTGGGTGTTATCGTCCTCCATCAGCACCGGCCTGTACCCTACCTGCCCTAAACTCTCTCCTGGACCCTTACACTAAGTCTGAATTTGTCCTGCTAGGTGACCTAAACTGGGACATGCTTAAACCACCTGACCGTCCTAAAGCAATGGGACTCCCTAAATCTTTCTCAGATTATTACCGATCCCACAAGGTATGACTCCAAACACCCAGAAAAGGCTTCTCTCCTTCACGTTATCCTCACAAATAATCCTGATAGGTATAAGTCAGGTGTTTTCTGTAATGACCTTAGTGATCACTGTTTTACAGCCTGTGTTCGTAATGGCTACTCAGTGAAATGACCTGTCCTGATTTGTCATAGACGCTTGCTAAAAAACTTTCATGAGCAAGCCTTCCTTCATGACCTGGCCTCTGTAAATTGTTATAGAATCAGCTTGATCCCCTCTGTCGAAGACGCTTGGATCTTCTTTTTTTATATTTTCAGTGGTTAGGAAACACGCCCCCATAAAGAAAATGAGAATTAAAAACCGTTTCAGCGCCTGGTTCGACGGTGATCTGGCAGAGTTACTCCACCTCAAGAATTACATTTACATTTTAGTCATTTAGCAGACGCTCTTATCCAGAGCGACTTACAGTTAGTGAGTGAATACATTTTAATTTTCATACTGGCCCCCCGTGGGAAACGAACCCACAACCCTGGCGTTGCAAGCGCCATGCTCTACCAACTGAGCTACAATTCCATTTGGCGAAAGGCTCGGCACACGCATACTCAGGCTGACTGGCTCTTGTTCAGGCAAATGAGATATAAGTGCACTCAGGCCAAAGTTAGTTACTTTAAGGAGCAGTTCTCTCTCTGTGGGTCTAATCCCAAGAAGTTCTGGAAAACGGTGAAAGACCTGGAAAATAAACCCTCCTCCTCACAGCTGCCCATGTCCCTTAATGTTGATGATGTGGTTGTTACTGACAAGGAGCACATGGCTGAGCTCTTTAATCACCACTTCATTAAGTCAGGATTCCTATTTGACTCAGCCACGCCTCCTTGCCCATCCAGAATTTCCTCATCTCCCACCCCTTCTAATGCGACTAGCCCCGATGCTCCTCCCTCTTTTTCCCCTGCCCCGCTACAAAGTTTCTCCCTGCAGGCGGTCACTGAGTTGAGGTGCTAAAGGAGCTCCTTAAACTTGACCACAAAAAAACATCTGGGTCAGATGGTTTAGACCCTTTCTTCTTTAAGGTTGCAGCCCCTATCATCACCAAGCCTATCTCTGACCTTTTTAACCTGTCTCTCCTCTCATGGGAGGTTCCCATTGCTTGGAAGGCAGCCACGGTGCGTCCTTTATTTAAAGGGGGAGATCAAGCTGATCCTAACTTTTATAGGCCCATTTCTATTTTGCCCTGTTTATCAAAAGTATTGGAAAAACTTGTCAATAATCAACTGACTGGCTTTCTTGATGTCTATAGTATTCTCTCTGGTATGCAATCTGGTTTCCCGCTCAGGTTATGGATGTGTCACTGCAACCTTAAAGGTCCTAAATGATGTCACCATTGCCCTTGATTCTAAGCAATGTAGTGCTGCTATTTTTATTGACTTGGCCAAAGCTTTTGATATGGTAGACCATTCCATTCTTGTGGGCTGCTAAGGAGTATTGGTGTCTCTGAGGAGTCTTTGTCCTCTCTCAAAGAGTGCAGTGTATAAAGTCAGAACATCTGCTGTCTCAGCCACTGCCTGTCACCAAGGGAGTACCCCAAGGCTCGATCCTAGGCCCCACGCTCTTCTCAATTTACATCAACAACATAGCTCAGGCAGTAGGAAGCTCTCTCATCCATTTATATGCAGATGATACAGTGTTATACTCAACTGGCCCCTCTCCGGATTTTGTGTTAAATGCTCTACAACAAAGCTTTCTTAGTGTCCAACAAGCTTTCTCTGCCTACAAAACAAAGGTCATGTGGTTTGGTAAGAAGAATGCCCCTCTCCCCACCGGTGTGTTCACTACCTCTGAGGGTTTAGAGCTTGAGGTAGTCTCCTCATACAAGTACTTGGGAGTATGGCTAGACGGTACACTGTCCTTCTCTCAGCACATATCAAAGCTGCAGGCTAAGGTTAAATCTAGACTTGGTTTCCTCTCATAATCGCTCCTCTTTCACCCAAGCTGCCAAACTAACCCTGATTCAGATGACCATCCTACCCATGCTAGATTACGGAGATGTAGTTTATAGATCGGCAGGTAAGGGTGCTTTCGAGCGGCTAGATGTTCTTTACCATTCGGCCATCAGATTTTCCACAAATGCTCCTTATAGGACACATCACTGCACTCTATACTCCTCTGTAAACTGGTCATCTCTGTATACCTGTCGCAAGACGTACTCGTTGATGCTTATTTATAAAACCCTCTTAGGCCTCACTCACCCCTATCTGAGATACCTACTGCAGCCCTCATCCTCCACATACAACACCCGTTCTGACAGTCACATTCTGTTAAAGGTCCCCAAAACACACACATCCCTGGGTCGCTCCTCTTTTCAGTTCGCTGCAGCTAGCGACTGGAACGAGCTGCAAAAAACATTGACTGGACAGATTTATCTCCATCTCTTCATTCAAAGACTCAATTATGGACACTCTTACTGACAGTTGTGGCTGCTTCGCGTGATGTATTGTTGTCTCTACCTTCTTGCTGTTGTCTGTGCCCAATCATGTTTTTACCATGTTGTGCTGCTGCCATGTTGTGCTGCTACCATGTTGTGCTGCTACCATGTTGTGCTGCTGCCATGTTGTGCTGCTGCCATGTTGTGTTGTTACCATGTTGTTGTCATGTGGTGTTGCTACCATGCTGTGTTGTCATGTGTTGCTGCCATGCAATGTTGTGGTCTTAGGTCTCTCTTTATGTAGTGTTGTGGTGGCTCTCTTTATGTAGTGTTGTGGTGGCTCTCTTTATGTAGTGTTGTGGTGTCTCTCTTTATGTAGTGTTGTGGTGGCTCTCTTTATGTAGCGTTGTGGTGTCTCTTTATGTAGTGTTGTGGTGTCTCTCTTTATGTAGTGTTGTGGTGTCTCTCTATGTAGTGTTGTGGTGTCTCTCTCTATGTAGTGTTGTGGTGTCTCTTTATGTAGTGTTGTGGTGGCTCTCTTTATGTAGTGTTGTGGTGTCTCTCTTTATGTAGTGTTGTGGTGTCTCTCTTTATGTAGTGTTGTGGTGTCTCTCTCTATGTAGTGTTGTGGTGTCTCTTTATGTAGTGTTGTGGTGGCTCTCTTTATGTAGTGTTGTGGTGACTCTCTTTATGTAGTGTTGTGGTGGCTCTCTTTATGTAGTGTTGTGGTGGCTCTCTTTATGTAGTGTTGTGGTCTCTTTATGTAGTGTTGTGGTGGCTCTCTTTATGTAGTGTTGTGGTCTCTTTATGTAGTGTTGTGGTGTCTCTCTCTATGTAGTGTTGTGGTGTCTCTCTCTATGTAGTGTTGTGGTGGCTCTCTTTATGTAGTGTTGTGGTGGCTCTCTATGTAGTGTTGTGGTCTCTTTATGTAGTGTTGTGGTGGCTCTCTATGTAGTGTTGTGGTGGCTCTCTATGTAGTGTTGTGGTGGCTCTCTTTTGTTAGTGGTTGGTGGCTCTCTTTATGTAGTGTTTGTTGGTGGCTCTCTTATGTAGTGTTGTGGTGGCTCTCTATGTAGTGTTGTGGTCTCTTATGTAGTGTTGTGGTGGCTCTCTATGTAGTGTTGTGGTTGGCTCTCATGTAGTGTTGTGGTGGCTCTCTATGTAGTGTTGTGGTGGCTCTCTCTATGAGTGTGTGGTGGCTCTCCTATGTAGTGTTGTGGTGGCTCTCTTTATGTAGTGTGTGTGGCTCTCTTTATGTAGTGTTGTGGTGGCTCTCTATGTAGTGTTGTGGTGGCTCTCTATGTAGTGTTGTGGTGGCTCTCTTTATGTAGTGTTGTGGTGGCTCTCTATGTAGTGTTGTGGTGTCTCTATGTAGTGTTGTGGTGTCTCTATGTAGTGTTGTGGTGTCTCTTTATGTAGTGTTGTGGTGTCTCTTTATGTAGTGTTGTGGTGGCTCTCTTTATGTAGTGTTGTGGTGGCTCTTTATGTAGTGTTGTGGTGTCTCTTGTCGTGATGTGTGTTTTGTCCTATATTTTCATTTTTAATCCCAGCCCCCCGTCCCCACAGGAGGCCTTTTGGTAGGCCGTCATTGTAAATAAGAATTCTTAACTGACTTGCCTAGTTAAATAAAGGTTAAATAAAAAATATATATAAAGATATCGGGGCTAATAGATGGAGGGCTAGTTATCAGGAGATATCTAGTTATATACCTACTCACTCAAGGGTTTTTCTTTATTTTTACTATTTTCCACATTGTAGAATAATAGTGAAGACATCAAAACTATGAAATAACACATACAGTGAGGGGAAAAAAGTATTTGATCCCCTGCTGATTTAGTACGTTTGCCCACTGACAAAGACATGATCAGTCTATAATTTTAATGGTAGGTGTATTTGAACAGTGAGCGACAGAATAACAACAAAAAATCCAGAAAAACGCATGTCAAAGATGTTATAAATTGATTTGCATTTTAATGATGGAAATAAGTATTTGACCCCTCTGCAAAACATTACTTAGGACTTGGTGGCAAAACCCTTGTTGGCAATCACAGAGGTCAGACGTTTCTTGTAGTTGGCCACCAGGTTTGCACACATCTCAGGAGGGATTTTGTCCCACTCCTCTTTGTAGATCTTCTCCAAGTCATTAAGGTTTCGAGGCTGACGTTTGGCAACTCGAACCTTCAGCTCCCTCCACAGATTTTCTATGGGATTAAGGTCTGGAGACTGGCTAGGCCACTCCAGGACCTTAATGTGCTGCTTCTTGAGCCACTCCTTTGTTGCCTTGGCCGTGTGTTTTGGGTCACTGTCATGCTGGAATACCCATCCACGACCCATTTTCGATGCCCTGGCTGAGGGAAGGAGGTTCTCACCCAATATTTGACAGTACGTGGCACCGTCCATCGTCCCTTTGATGTGGTGAAGTTGTCCTGTCCCCTTAGCAGAAAAACACCCCAAAGCATAATGTTTCCACCTCCATGTTTGACGGTGGGGATGGTGTTCTTGGGGTCATAGGCAGCATTCCTCCTCCTCCAAACACGGCGAGTTGAGTTGATGCCAAAGAGCTTGATTTTGGTCTCATCTGACCACAACACTTTCACCCAGTTCTCCTCTGAATCATTCAGATGTTCATTGGCAAACATCAGACGGCCCTGTATATGTGCTTTCTTGAGCAGGGGGACCTTGCGGGCGCTGCAGGATTTCAGTCCTTCACAGCGTAGTGTGTTACCAATTGTTTTCTTGGTGAATATGGTCCCAGCTGCGTTGAGATCATTGACAAGATCCTCCCGTGTAGTTCTGGGCTGATTCCTCACCGTTCTCATGATCATTGCAACTCCACGAGGTGAGATCTTGCATGGAGCCCCAGGCCGAGGGAGATAGACAGTTATTTTGTGTTTCTTCCATTTGCAAATAATCGCACCAACTGTTGTCACCTTCTCACCAAGCTGCTTGGCGATGGTCTTGTAGCCCATTCCAGCCTTGTGTAGGTCTACAGTCTTGTCCCTGACATCCTTGGAGAGCTCTTTGGTCTTGGCCATGGTGTAGAGTTTGGAATCTGATTGATTGATTGCTTCTGTGGACAGGTGTCTTTTATACAGGTAACAAGCTGAGATTAGGAGCACTCCCTTTAAGAGTGTGCTCCTAATCTCAGCTCGTTACCTGTATAAAAGACACCTGGGAGACAGAAATCTTTCTGATTGAGAGGGGGTCAAATACTTATTTCCCTCATTAAAATGGATTTTTTTGTTGTTTTTCTGTCTCTCACTGTTCAAATAAACCTACCATTAAAATTATAGACTGATCATTTCTTTGTCAGTGGGCAAACGTACAAAATCAGCAGGGGATCAAATACTTTTTTCCCTCAATGTATGGAATCATGTAGTAACCAAAAAAGTGTTAAACAAATCAAAATATATTTTAGATTTTAGATTCTTCAAAGTAGCCACCCTTTGCCTTGATGACAGCTTTTCACATTCTTGGCATTCTATCAAC